GCCTTGCTTAGTTTGGCCTATAGAAATAGCTTTCCTTTTCACTTTTTTACTCTGTGCCCCGTTGATCTTAGTCGTTTGATACGGTATAGTTAGCGTGGCGTTTGCTGCTTAAGGGACTTGGTCACTGTGCCCGATTAGAATGAAACATATCCCAGGAACCATGACCAACTCGGTAAATAATTGTGTTATTTAACCCCAGGTTCATTTTGCGCCGGAATTGTCCTTTAAATGTGGTCCAACGTATGGTTTAAACAGCTGAAAAAAGGGCACTACCCCCACTCTGCTTTGAAAAAAAAAGGAGGAATTTACACCGAGCCCCTCCCCCCTCTCCATCGCGTATTAAGAGCAATGTGTGTGTGTGAAGTAAAGCATGTCCACATGGCCTATGACATATGAAAGGGGGGGGGTTTGGTGGTGTGAAATGTGAAACAGATGTTACTCTTGTTTCGCAGGCACTGATGTCGACACCTTTACACTGCAGAGGGAAGTGTGTGTGTGTGTGTGTGTGTGTGTGTGTGTATGAAAGACCTCATTTGAGGGAAGGCTTCCCATAAACACCTGTTTTGTTCCGGTTAATATCTCTCGTCATGGTGAAGAAATGATGGCCTCAGTGAAAGAGGAGAGAGAGGAGAGAGAGAAAGAGAGAAATGCACAGTGGGTTATCAGGACCAAAGAGAGAAGGCTAGGGGTTTACTGTCAGCTCAGGAGGTAAAATACAACCAGATTTGACATCGACTTTTACAGGTCACAAATTAAAAGCTGAATAAATTGTCTACTGAATACATGTGCTTCCATACAGAGCATGAGGGCTCAATGGTTGACTTGATGAGTGTTTAATGATGTGAATTACGTAGGTAAGGTTGTTGTGTACAGTTGATACATTTTCTCCTTTCTCAAAATAAATAAATCAATAAAATGTTGGTAATTACTTTTGTCAAGTAAAGCATTTGATAAGTGAAGACAGTGTGTGCGATTCTGCCATTATTATTATAGTCCAAATTGGTTTAGATACTATGCAGTAGCACTAGTTCTTTATACTATAAGTGTTGCTGGAGTTACAACCTATGAAAATGTCTTCAAACATGCAAAGGGTCAAACTTTAGGCTATAAAGGCAACCTTGTCTTCTGGAAATTATGTTATGTTATTATGCATATTACACATTTTTTTTATTGCATTTGTGTGACTACACGATACCTGCCAGGATCATGTTCACACCTTTCAAAACACTACATTTATCTAACATGGTCGAGGTACAAGGAGGCGTACAAAGTGCAGGACTGTCACACCACCATTACGTTTTCTACAAAACATATTTGCTGTTGCAAATTGGTTAATGTAATGTCTAGAAGACAGGGCTGGTAGGAGTATGTTCAACCCAGCAATCTATAACCCAAAATTTGAGTGGCAAGGAAATTTAACAGAAAAAAAATCAGGACTTTGAGGACGATCAGTGAATGTTTTTGATAACTTATAGCTGCAGTAGGTAACTTTTATAAAAATAACCTTCTGCTGAAACTCTAACTATATCCTAGCAGTAGTACATGACACATACAATCCAAAAAAAGTAGCATCTGGCTCTTCAACACGTTCTCATACCTAACGCGTCAAAAACTGCAGCTTGGTCAGTGGCTCCTACGCTTCAAGAAGTGACGCTCTAGGTACCCTTCTAGCGTTGCTTTTTGACGCGCATACTACCACTAAAGACACTAGTGGTTTCTTCCTATTTCATTAAATACAAATCATGTTGCAACATTATTAGGAGCAAAAAAGCATGAGGCAAGAGGTCTCTTGATTAAAATACAGGGTTTAGTTGCTGGTCAACCCGTGAGAACAGGTTAAAGAAAGAAAAAACAAATTAACAAAAATAATGCTGTATGCATGTCTTATGTTATAACCAAGCATACAGTATATACAGCTAGACACTTTACAGTTTGATTGAAAAAAACGAAAATGACACATGTAAACACAATAATCATTACACCTTTAGCAGGCAGATTAAAAGGCCAACAAACCTCATTGCTGCTTATCAAGAAGAGTACGAAAGTTAACTTATGTAATTACTTATTTATTTTCCTAATTCAGTCCATCCGGACTTGGGTAAATGTGTTGTTGCTTGACAGTGCCACAGTCTCATATCAATCAAACATCCCTGTGCGTCACAAAGTGACGCTAGAAGGGTACCTAGAGCGTCACTTTTTGAAGTGTAGGGCCACTGACCAAGCTGCAGTTTTTGACGCAATAGGAGTGCTCCTAATCCGTAAGAATCTGCTGAGCCGGAACAAAAATAACCACTGGGAACCGACAAAGACAGTTGATTGTTAAGTCTCATCATCAGGTCATCAAATACTGCAGCTTTGGGTTGGTGGCTTGAAGATGGTTGATTGTTGAGCATTGAGCATTGTTGAATTCTTTTTCTTTTCTGGCTCCAAGCTCCAAGCAAGTTTTTTTCAGGCGCGTTGGCGTGTGTTTTCGGACTTCTCTAATAAAGCTAAATATTGTCTTTCTTGTATTTGTGATTATATTGGTGTGCATTTAACATTACATTTAAGAATGTGGTTAAAATTTCAGTGTTACTCATTGTATGCCCCAAAATGGTTTGGATGTGGTGTGTTTATACTGTGTATGGGTTTAAGTGTTTGCACATAACTTTATAACATACATTAGACAATAGAAACTGCATGTGCGTGCTGCAGGCATGTGCTCTAATAATTAGTCTTGCCATCTGTGTGTCAGAGGGTGGCAGCCATACTCCCTCTGTCTTGTCCCTGCCTCCAGCTATTAAACTATACAGAATTATCTGCTCATACTAAGTGCCCTGCACCACTGTAGAGGCAATGTCATTGCACAGTCAATTCACTGAGTTATAAAGTCAGAAAAAGCACTAACTTGAAACCATGGTCCTTATTGCATATGTTTCTTATAACGTATTGTTGATAGTAAATAGTTGGTTATTCAGTGTGTCTGAATCGTCTTTTTATTCTTCCATATGTTTTTTTTGGTGTGTATCTAGTCCTGCAGCTCTGCCAGCACATACAAAAAATAGATAAAAATGTGTGTCTTGATCAGGAATAGTGTGCTATGTGTTTTCTCATAGATGATGATTCAAAATGTACAAAATATTTAATGTTTTCCTGCAATCTTCCCCTATTTATTCCTAATGGATTGCCAGTTTTTCATGAATATTCAACTCTTAACTACTCATTCCTACATTCACATAGAAACTCCATTCAAACTTTAAAATGTTCACAGCAAGTAGGACTTTCTGACATTAATTCAGCTTTTTTCATACTTTTACACAATCACAGTTCAAAATTAATGAAAATTGCAGTCCTTCTGAGACTTTTCCATTAGTAAGTATTGCGTGGAATGTTCAGAACTAGAATGGCAGACCCAAAAGTCACAGTGAAGAGTGGCTGTAAAATCGTCTAAAAATCTTGTCTTCAACTTGCTCTCAGAGCCACAAATATTACTCCACCTACATATTTTTTACACCAAAACGTAGGAAAATTTGTGCGCCCCTGTGTTTGGCTGGCCGTCTCCCTCTGCTGAGAGTGTTACTGTTTTT